GCGTATTCGTATTCATATTAGTATTCGTATTGGTATTGATATTGGTATTGATATTGGTATTGATATTGGTGTTGGTATTGATATTGGTATTGATATTGGTATTGGTATTGGTATTGGTATTGGTATTGGTATTCGTATCAGTATTAGTATTAATATTGACATTGGTATTGATATTGATATTGGTATTGGTATTCGTATTAGTATTGATATTGACATTGACATTGGTATTGATGTTGGTATTGATATTGGTATTAATTTTGTTATTAGTATTAATATTAATTTTTGTGTTAATATTAGTTTTGGTATTAGTATTAATAGTAGTAGTAGTAATATTAATTTTAGTATTAGAGGTGGCATGAACTATTATACGTCGCAGTATAGACAGTGAAGAGTAGAGGTGGCACGGACTATTATACGTCACAATATAGAGAGTTAAGAGTAGATGTGGCATAAATATATTCATCAAGTCGAAATAGACGACTAATATATTATTTGCAATATTGTCTACTGTGAAGATTTTCAGGGTATATAAATGTACATAAAAATTGTATATGACACACATTTGTTGTTTGTATTTTTTACATGTATATTTATTTTATCGTGTTAGTTTATTTTCACTTTATGCCAATTTTATTGTCCACTCCACTGAATTGTTTTTTAAAACAAGGTGATTTAGCACATAATGTATTTATTTTGTACACTTTTAGTTGATTATGTTTCAGTAATGTGTACCACTGGTTGCATTTGAACAATGTAAAATGTGCATGTTACTCGCAAAGAGTGTTAATAGACGATGTCAATGCATGTGCTATAAAACACTATTTTGATAATTAAGTTTCTGTTAACGATACAAAGTATTGGACGAGATAGTTGTACCGTTTGGGTCTGATAATGTGTCTTATTTTTCATATCACAATTTCTGTATTTTATATTTTCTTTTTATCATTTTTTTTATATCGGTAGTTAAATCAAATGGAATTCATTTTGTTTTTAAACTTTTTAGATTATATCATATTATTTATCAATTATTCAAAGTTTTCGTTCGATAATTTGATCTAAAACATATTTTTTCGTTTTTTATATTAACCCCATATATTACACCTTTCGTTTTTCATACATTAAGGTGTTTGATTTACCTCATTGGCATGTTTTTGTCATTAAAAAATTGTACTTAGAATTGATCCCCGTGCATCGCACGGGTGAGTTACTAGTTGTTTACAAAATAAAGAGAAACTGAATTCGAAAAGTTCTATTCCAATTTTCACAAAGATACCCCACAAACACTCCCGGCGCCCCCCAAACCCCCACCACTTTTGACCCACCGGTTTGGAAGCTGGTAAGGATATCATCGGTAACAGGCTCGGACTACGCTTCGGAGCTCCCAAGCCCAGACACACGGTATAAGTCTGAATAGCCGTTAAAGTTTCCCTCTTCAAATTCCCTCTCTTTCATTAGTCAGCTTCCATTGATTTTTTTTTTTTTTTTCGCTAGGGTTTTAGCTGCCGTCAATGGGTAGCAGAGTTCCGGTGGAGCACTACAGTTTGACATCCGCCGCCGCAAATTCCTACATCGGAAACTCCTTGAACGACCTCAATTCCGGCGACGATGACACGGATCCAGCCGCCGATGACGTCACCGACGATAACGACGATCGGTCCTCTGCTATCGTCAGTGTTAGTGTGAAAATTACTGGATTTTTTTTGTTTACGGTATTTTTTGTGGTTGCTGAGACTGACATTTTTATGCGAAAACTTGAATTTAATATGATTTTATCTTTTTTTATAATCTTGTGCTGTTGTCATGAATTTACTGTGCAGCAAGTCCAGTTGCAACCAGTTGATTAACATTTTTAATTTATAAAATTCAGCCTTGTAATTTCATCGTGAAGAATTCGCATATGGTTTATTGATTATTTTGTGGATCGAATTGCGGTCTCCCCTTCGTATGGTTTATAATGTAATGAATAGCCGCTCTTTGCTAGATATTCTTATCAATTTGCATTTTATTATGTTATTGCAAGTCAATTTACCTGTATATGGATATGTAATTAATCGATATGTGAATAAAATAAAATTGTCCGAAGAACAATATCTCGTTCCGCCACTACCACCAGTACTTTGTTTTTCATTTTTTTTACAAGAAATTTAGAATTTTAGAGTTCCTTCAACTTATGCAGAGCACAAAGTACCTTATGCTGCTGAAAAGCATTAATTTCACCCACAGTAATATTCGCTACTCTGAAACAGAAGTTCTCTGTGAAGATTGTTTCTCACTCAGAAATGCGCTGGTTCATGTTTTTGTATTGCAATTCAAGTTATCAACTTGATGTTTTAAATCTTGCAGGACTGTATGCACGAGGCTTACGGGAACTCTTTACCACTTCACAACATGCGAGTGGAGGATGATAGGAGCAGTCTTGGAAATAATGGGTCTTCAAGCGGTCCATACTCTATTTTGACAGTTGATGGTAACGTTTATTCCGTCTATATCATTTTAATGATTATTGCATATTCACCTAATATCATTCTGATGTCGTACCTCTCTGTACTAGATCTCTCCCCAATTGAAACAGCTAGAGCAAGATTTTTGGACATCATTGTAGATGGTTTTATTGATTCGCATGTGATCGAAAAATCGGATTACGAGGCTGATTACATGGTGCAACAATCCTCCCAAGTATAACACAAGCAAGAGGAAGTCCAGAGAGATTCGACATGAAGGCGACGAACGCTATGCTCTGCCCTTAATGTATATCGCAAACATGTATGAAACATTAGTTAATGAAGTCAACATGAGATTATCATCGATGAGTGGTATGCGTGAAAAGACCATCGGCGTAGCCCTTGAAGCAGCAGGTGGACTGTATAGGAAACTCGCAAAGAAATTTCCAAGGAAAGGTACCATTTCCCCCTTTCTCTTGGTATAAGAACTATTGAAAATTTGAAATTGTTTTCTGGATGCATCAAAATATTGCAGTAATTAAGTTGAATCTTGAATTCTTCTCTATAATTCGTTACTTATTCTTCCAAACACGTTTCATCTATAAAATAAATAATTAGTTATTTCCCACCTTTAGTTTCTTGATTTCCATTTTCAGATTACTTCTAGGTCCGAGTCTGGCCTCTTATCTCTTTGAAAATAAAATAAATAATATGCTATTAATATTCTTGCAAATATCTAACATTGATGTTCTACTTGTAGGTTCTTGCGTGTATAAGAGGAGGGAGCTAGCTACTTCTTTTGAAACAAGATCAAAGTTTCCCGAGTTAGTGATACAGGAGGAAAAACGTGTTCGTTTCGTGGTGGTAAATGGATTATCTATTGTTGAAAAACCAACAAAAATTGGTGTAGATGACGCTGAGTGGTATGTTGAGTTCTCTTGTTCATCCACCAGTCATGATAGCGTTGTTTCCTTACTAGAAAAATTGTTATATTTGAACTCTGAAATATGCTTTCAAAATGTTGATAAATCTCTCTCTCTCTCTCTCTCTCTCTCTCTCTCTCTCTCTCTCTCTCTCTCTCTCTCTCTCTCTCTCTCTCTCTCTCTCTCTCTCTCTCATTTACCATTAAACTTCTTCCGCTCTCCTATTGTTCTTAAATCTTGTAAAACTGCCTCTGGTTTATGGGGTATCACACTCTAATTTTCATAATAGACTTGGTAAAGATACGTTCAAGGCTCAAGTAGTCTGCCATTAGTTTGAAGAGATCAGGCACATATGTTAGGATCTTAGATTACCACTATTAAATTTCCCTGTAATTATTCTTTCTCGTTATGTTTCAAACTACTGATATAGATGGTGAGTTTTTATCAATTAGTTAAATTACGGTTATTTACTAATTTTACTATTCGAGATAATTACTGGGGGTCGGATGTAGTTACTTCTTCTG